TCCCCTACCCACGGCCCCCACAGCCCCACCTGGCTGTCCCCACGCAGCCCCATCACGGTCTCGTAGGACGGGGGGAAGTCAGTCGGGTAGAGGGGCACAGGGCTGTCCATGGAGCCGTTGTAGGTGATGCTGTGGAGGTAAGAGCAGAAAAGCCACGCTGGGTGGGACAAGCTCTGCTCGAGGGTATACAGACCCTGACTCCACCAGCCTCGCTCCCAGCCGGTACCTCTGTGCGTCTGTCTCCGAGCTGCAGGTGTACTCGGGTGGGTAGTAGGGGGGTGGTGGCACTGGGGGCACAAACTCCTCGAAGGCCCTCCGTCAGGGGGGGATGTGCATTCCAGTGTCACAGAGCTTGAGCGCTGCGGGACCAGCTGCGGGAAGAAGGGAGGAGCGAGAGCTCAGACTCTCCTGCCCAGAGATCCAGCGAGGGATGTGCATCACAGGCTTTAATCCACACCTAGCCAGGGCCAAGTCCTGCCCTGGCACCCCAGGGCCCTCCCCAGCCCAGGAGTGCTGCTCCCCAGCCCCATCTTCTGGGCCGGGACTCACCACATGGACGATGTCGAGGGAGAAGATCTGGATGCAGCACACGACAGCGGAGAGCGTGCAGATGATGGTGGAGAAGACAGTCAAGCCACAGACGCTGAAGAGGAGGTCCTGGGGAGCAGCAGGGTGAGCTGTGGAGCCTGCAGAGCATGGTAGGGTGCACAGCTGCTCCACAGGGAGCCCCCGTGTCCCCCTCCTCTCCCACCTTGAGCGCCACACGGATGCTGCGGCAGTTGGGGTTGGGGAACATGGTGAGCATCTCGCTCTCCTGGCTGCAGGAGGCAGGTGGGGGCTCCAAGCGGGCCTGGCAGCAGACACAGGAGTCCTTCTCCTGAGGACAAGGAACAACGTGAGGAACCTGCAAACACTGCGCTCTGCCCTGACCCACCCTGGCTCTGCAGCTGCCCACGTCCCCAGAGTCCTGCAGCCAGGGATGAGCCGCGTGTGGAGGTCTTTCCCTCGCTCAGCCTCACCCCCCCGCAGGCCTCCAGGGACTGCACCAGCTGTGCATTCTGGCAGGACAGGATGGAGCCGGCGAGGCTCAGCATGACGCCCAGCACTGACAGCAGCGTGA